CAAATCCCGTCCCTCTTATACAATCAGGTTTACTCAACAGTCGCCTCAAGAATCTCAGTCTCCGCCTCAAAAGCGGAACAGGACACACAAGGCACAAAGAGCCATGTCCGCCACCGATCCCAAGATGGGCGGCGATGCGGATGCCGCGGATAAGTCGCGGCAGAAGAGCTGCAACGCCTGCGTACGGAGCAAGCGCCGCTGCGACAAGCGGACCCCGCGCTGCACCCGCTGCTCAGAGAAGAACTTCGCCTGCGTCTACCAGAACCTGCCCCCGGCCGGCGGTGGTCCTGCCGAGGGTGCGGCAGCAGCAAAGGCTGCCACAGTAAGCGATGCCCAGGATGATCCGCTACAGGCCATGGACCTCGAGGACGGTAGCAGTGACCATCTCCCGCCGCCGCCGCATCCTTTTGATTTCAACACGCTCGGCGGGAGCTCTTCCTCGACATCACCCACCTATGTCAACGGCACACTGGTGATGGACGAGCCCACTGACAGCAGCGCGACGACGTCGTCGTTGAACTTGGATCCCAACATGCCGAATTTCGATTTCAACTCGGTCATGGACTTTTTGAACGCAGACCCGGCGCAGGGCGGTGAGATGCAGGTCTGGGAGACGCCGCAGTTCCCCCAGTTGTCCAAAAGTCTCGCGCCCGAACTGCCGTACATGGGTTCCGTATGTTGTGGTATGGAGAGGGACGACATTCTGGTAAGCAACCCAACTCTTCTTCATCGCTCAACCCCCCCTCTTCCTCTCATCTCATCCATCACCACGCATCACCACATCCTACGCCGACCCACAACACACCTTCTCATTCCCTTTCATAACCCCCTTCTCACCGTATGATATCCGTCATTACATGCCAGCCCCATCCCTGACCAAGAGAAACTCAGTGCATGTCGCAGGGAGACTTCCAACCATGGCAGATCCACGAGCCCGACTCGCGCATCGGCTACATGGTGTCCTACCTCACAAACATGCACACGACCTTCGCCCAGACGAAGCAGACCCCCTTCCTCCACCGGCACCTCTACCGCGGCATCCACGCCACACCCCGGCCCCTCCTCGCCGCCTACACGGCCATCTCCGCCTACGCGGGCCGCACCAACGCCAACAAGGGCTGGGCCATCCGCGCCATCTGCGAGGGCGCCGCCGAGGTGCTCAAGTCCGCCAAGGACCCGGCCGCGAGCGCGGCGATGACGGGGCATGAGAAGCTCGCGCGAACGCAGGCGCTGTGGCTGCTGCAGACGATTCGCTGTTTCGACGGGGATGTGGCGATGAGGGCGCAGGGGGAGAGGGATATGGAGGTGCTGAAGCGGTGGTTGAAGGAGTTGGAGGGGCTGAGGGACAACCTTGATGATGTGCACCTGCTGGATGATCTTGCCCTCAGACAGAGGCCGCCTCGGTCGTGGGAAGTGTGGGTGTTTAATGAGTGTGTGAGGAGGACGGTGCTGATGGGCCATATCTTCACCTCGCTGTTTGAGATACTAAAGGCGGCCGGCGAGAGTGGTAAGTTTTCTTGCTTTGTGTTTCCCCCTTTCCGTTGCCTCATGAGCTGCGTCAATGTCGCCTCTCAATGCATCCAATTTTGGCGTTCCGAGCTGACCGACGAAACCAGAACCGGACGTTACCAACTGGCTGGCACCCCACAGGTGGACCTTCTCCAGATCATTATGGGAAGCGCAGTCATCACCTGCCTTCTTCTCGTCGTGGCGGGAGAAGCCGCTATTCATGGTCAACAGCTTCTTTGTGCAGGAGGTAGCCAAGGTAGCGAGGCCGTTCGACGTGGATGAGTTTGCGAGGTTATTTCTTACTGTGTAAGTTGACTGCTTTGGGACGGGAGGCGTCGGACACTGGATTGTTGTCTGTGTGCTAACAAAGATTGTGGTGCAGAAACTTTGGTGTTGAGGAGACGAAGCATTTCATGCTGGAGGTCTGATCCAAGCATTCGCGAGCTGCACAGTGTTGTGAAAAAAGGTTTCCGGGCCCCTGCCTGGTATAAGCAGGTCTGTTGCGACGAGGCTCTGTCACGGGATTCATCCACAAGCATGAGCCGATCCTTCTCATTGCCGGGCGCTAGAATGAAGAATTCAACGGATGGGAGAGAGCGGGCGCAGGTAAAGGGATATGACGAAACGACTTTTTTCTGAAGCATAGCCCGAAATGGGTTCAGATTTAGCTATAGGTTGTCCAGCCATTGGAAGCAGCTGGCGGATAGGAGGCGACGTCGGGATGGCATCACCCCTCCTGGAAGCACCTAATACCCTGTGGCATTTTGCGGGAGCTCAGGGGCCCTATCATCAAGATCACTGAGATGTCTCCCGCCAATACACGGCGCTATTGAAATTAAGTAGGACTTCGTCGTCTGGGACGCATCATTCTAGGGATCAGGCAGTGCACTCTTGAGCTGAGGTTTAACAAGGCAGCACTGGCGTCAATCAACATGGTTATTAAGCTCTGGTTCATCAATGCACAGGATTGTTTGGAATGACTTGACATCAGATACTTCCAGTGTTAGGTCACTGCCCACGAATCCATGGCTACACCAAAGTACAAAGTCTGCTGCATCGCTGTTCACTGTTACCCTCGTTTCTCCTGTCCTTTCAACCGAAGTTTTGGTGCATCCAGCAGAAGATCTCTTGGATTGGGCATTGTGCAGGCTTAAGGAGCAAACAGCAGGAGTCGGAATGACTGAGGGCTCTGACGAAGCTTCAGTCCTCGCTATATTCTTTTTGATCACATTTATTTAAGGCCCATCTCCGATAACACTAAAAATGCGCGCTTCCAATCGTATCTCAATGACTTGCCAGGGCCAAATGGAAGATAGTATTTCCCGAAATCAAGTCGACGAGCTTAAGTCGGCCAAGTCTTCGTCTCTTCGTCTCAAATTTCCTCAGTCCGACCTTTCATGGTCGAGAGTTCATCTGATAGCCTGGACCAAAACTTGCCCTGTGCGGTCCGTCCCGATATCTGCGAAGTTAGGCCCGCGACGATTCAAACTCAATCACCGCGCAGCATAGAATAGTCAACGGAAATTTTCGATTATCTTGAGTATCAATGTGCATGTCACCAACCCCTACATGCAAGCAATAACATACACGGGGCCGCCGTTGAGAGGTACAAATGAGGACCTTCTGTCAACTAACTAGGTCAAGCTGATTTTGTCAATCTGTCGGGGACATACAGCCAAACCCCCTTTCAATGCGATGCCATAACTCCAGACGCCGGAATCTCTTGGGAACACCCAGATACTGCGTTTTCCATCGTTTTGTATCTGTTTTCCATATCATACGAGCAACGTCGAGTTCAAACACCCGTCATTTTCTGGGCTAGAGAAAGTCAGCTAATAATCCATCTGGAGAATCACCATCGAGAAGAAATGAAAAAAAAGAAATACGAAAGATGAAGAGAACCTACTTGTTCGTTACCTGCGCCCAACGACCCCATACCACGTTTCCCGACGCTGTGGTAAGTCCCAATTCAGAGACGTTGACTAAATTCTGAGGTTAGCTGTGGATTTCCAACCGATTTCAGGAACCATACCCTCAATAATTGTTCCTTTAGTAAGAACTCCCAGAGACGTGTACAAAGGCGCATTGGGGTTCTTCTTGACCGACAAGATGGGAAGTTTGATAGTGACGTTGAGCTGGGGATGGGTAACATTGGCATATTTGTAGCGCTGCGGAGTGGGAAGGCACGTTAGCTATATTTATTGCCAGATTGAGTTTACAGGAATTGAAAACTGACCAGACCCATAGGGCGAATGAATCTCTCGGCTTTCGGATTGGCGCGGGTGAAGTTCTGTCCAACGAAGGTAGGTTTGGTGATCTGTGGTTGTGGTCAGTGAATGCTAACATCGATACGCAGGAATGCCGCGCATCATAGGATATGAGAGCCCATCGCCCCAAAATCGAATAAGCAGCTCGCTGGATCACTAACCATCCTCTTCCATTGCTTCTGGTGCGTCTTCTTTCCTGTTCCTACAACTTTAAACATCTCCTCTTCAGAAATGCCGCGGACCTTTGGCAACTATGGACTTTTCTTAGTTCTGGACCGTACCGACGTTTTGGTAGGCTCTAACTCACGGGAACGGCAAACTAGAGTATTGTTAGCATGAAGAACCAGCCATAAAACATTCCTGGGGCCTCCTTACTCTCGCTGCCTTCTCAGCACGCTTGTTCTTGATCTGCGAAGAGATGGCCTTTGCATTCTCCGGGTTGTTGCGGTCGAGCAGGTAGGCGGGCATGGGCTCGCTGGGCTCTTTCTCGTTGTTCGTCTTGACGTTGCGCTCCTCGTGGGCCTTGATCTGCTTGCGCATCTGGATCTTCTCCTTTCTTCTGCTCTCGGCGTGAAGCTTAGCGCGGAGGCCACGGAGGTTCTGGGCATCCTTCGAGGCCTTGTGTCCCTCTCTGGCCTCCTTCTTTCTCTTCCTCTCCTCGTAATCGAGACGGCGACCATGCTGCTTCCTCCAGCGCTCCATGTACCTATATTATGTCAGGGAATGCCAGGTGTTTCGGTTGATAGAAGGATTCCATACTCGTTCTACGGAGGGCTTGTTAGCATGGCCGGACTGAGGCGGTAGTGTCTAGGAACTTACCTGAGGCATCTTGAGGGGTCTGCGCTCGAGAGCGACTTCGAAATACTTGTTGGGCGGTACGAAGACGTAAAGAGTGTCGGTGCGACGGCGGTGATGATAGTTCGTCAACAGAGTCGCCAGGCGTTGACGATGCAGGCAAGTGGCGGGTCGCGAAGAAAAAAAACGCCAGTACTTCTCTTATCGATAAGAAAGCTCGGACTGTCGAAAAAGTTGCGGCGGGCGGGGGCCTGCCCGCCAACAACGGGAGTGGATCAATGCTTAATCCGAGCGCAGCTGCAGGACCTCACTAGGAACCTTCCTAGAACTTTTTTGAGCTTCACGACGGCTGGGTCCAATCGCGCATAACGTCAGAAGCCATTGGAAATCCCCCGCCGGATCCAATTCACCGCGCCGAACATTCTCACAATGAGTCGATCCCTGTTGCGCTCCCTTCTGGAGCTCAGGACACCCGTCACCCGCTTACCGCCTACATTCCTCCTCCCGATTCAAGCTAGGAGATTCAACTCTACGGCGCCGATCATCGAGCCCCAGAACACATCCGTCGCCGAAGATGCCCCCGCCGCGGCTGCTCCCTCAGGTGCCGTTGCCGCCGAGCCTTCAATAGCCCAGAAAGCCGTTGCGGCGCAAAAGCCAACGACCCCGTCAGGACCCATTTCTGAACAAGTAAAGGCGGTTCTACCATTCCTGGCCGCCCAGCCAAACCACTACATTACCTTCCACATCCACGGACGCCCCTACCTCGTCACGCCAGGCGACAGCGTCCGCCTCCCCTTCAAGATGCCTGGTGTCGTGCCCGGCGATGTCCTCCGTCTCAACCGAGCGTCCGTCATCGGTAGCAGAGACTACACCCTCAAGGGCGCGCCATTCATCGACGAGCGGCTTTACGAGTGCAGAGCTGTGGTGACGGGTACTGAAAGTGAGCCCATGCGGTTCAAGGAAAAGACGAAGAGGAGGCAGAGGAAGGTGAAGACGGTCAAGAGCAAGCACCGCTATACGACACTGGCTATTAGCGAGCTGAAGATCAACAGCTCGGAAGAGATTGAGGTATAGGCGGCCCGGGGTTTTCCAAACCGAGAGGTATTGGATTGTTGTTCGAGTACCACGAACGGGTGTATAAAACACACAGGGTCGCATGATTCTCTGTACCAATGTCTCCATATCGGGACTGTATCAATAGACAAACAAAATTTCACGAGTGAGCGAAGTCGGGCATGGATCTGTAATTAAAACGAGTGCCATAAGGCTCGAACTTGAATTTGAAGCGGGCGGGGAGTCCGTCGCTGTCTCGAATGAAGTAATCTGCCGTAACTGGAGGTCGCTGCCTCTGAGGTAATAACGAAAACAAGGTAATGGGATAAACGTGCGGCGCAAACAGCCGAATAAGAATTAAAGCAAGACGCCCCAGAAACTCCAAGCTATGAATGTTGTCCGTCATCATGATCCAAAGTGAAGTTGCCAAATGACGCCCTTTTCATACAACTTTCCAACATTAACGCCCATACGCTCTCATGATCTATTCGTGGCTTTTCTGACACTGGCCCAGTATGCTGATGGCCAAACCGACATGACCTCGGCCTCGGTCGGCATGCGTTCTCGACATCTCGTGACGACGCTCTGGATGATTCTACCAAGGAGTTCCTCATCGATTGGAAGTGCCTTCTCGCTAAGCTCATTAGGGTAAAGGAAGGGATCGGTCTCGTGGAGGAGTTCCTCGCAGGTCGGCCGCATGTGAACATCGCGATTCAAGCACCTCCTCAAGGTTCTTATCAATGAGGGGGGTACAGGCATGCCGCCCATCCCCCTTGAAGGGAATTCGATATTGTGGTCCCAGTTGATAATGGCTTGGCATCTTGCCATCTGGTTGGCAATGTGACCAAATGGGGCGATTCCGTACACAAGCTGGTAGAGAATGCAGCCAAGTGACCAGACATCGCTGGGCTTGCCCACCTTCATCAACTTGGGTCGACCAGGAACACGCCCACCTCGGGGCGCGTTGAAGTCCAAGAGTGATTCAGGAGACATGTAGTTCGGTGTGCCGACTTGCGTTTCGCGATGCACATTGACGGTTTCGTCTGTCTGGATGGCATTGGCGATGCCGAAGTCGATCAGCTTTAAGCGACCCTTGACGAGGACAAAGTTGGCGGGCTTGAGATCGGAGTGCACGATCTCGCATTGATGGACTGCTTGAATACATTCAAGCATCTCTTGCCAATAGAAACGGACGAAAACCGGATCGAACTTGGCGGCCTCAGGGTTTTGTCGACTTCGGATGAGGGTGTTGAGATCCAACTCGCCCATCTCCATAAGCTGATGCTAGGTTAGTTGTGTTCGCGTAGTACATGACGAGCTCACTCACCAGAGTTAGCACTCTCTTCTCATCATTCATTTCGTAGTCGTATAGATTGATGACTCGGTCGACACCGTTGAGTTTGCGCAGCAAGTCGATCTCGCCTCGATAACCCCTGATTTGGCCTTCATCTGCATTCTCCAGCGAGACTCTCTTCAAAGCAAACATTGCTCCGTTTTCGGCAGTAACGCGGTAGACCTTAGCGCTACCGCCACGGCCCAAACAGTCGAGCCTTGTATACGACTTCCCATTCACACGGAGGATATTTCGCTTTTGCCTTCCCTGAGTGGTAGTAGCTGCTCCCGCGGAAGTGGTTGCAGCATCTAGGACAGACATCTTTGGTGGTGGTGGCGGCGCCGGCCTGCGAGGGGTGTTGTTCGCAAGCGAAGACAGTGGTTTCCGGTCAGGAGAAGCAGCAGGTTGCTGGCGGGCTACTTCAGGATTGGCGGAACGTCTCGGGACCTTCTCTTCCTTCTCACCAAGGAGGCTGACTGCGGGCTTGGAGCTTCTGAGGATTGAAGGAATTTCGTTCTCCTGGTCGTGGGCAGATGGTACCTGAGGCCGAGGTGCCGGCAACTTGTAGTGAATCTCCTCCGGCTCTTCTCTCTCCTGGGGTGATTGTCGCGCAGATGCGACCGGCTCTGCGTAAGACGTCGGTCGTCTATGACCTGGTCTTGAAGGATCGCTCAGAGCCACCGGGCTCCCTGATGCAAGTTGCCTGCCGTTTCCATAGAATGATGAGGCAAGGTCATTGTCGGCCTCACGGCCCTGGCGATCATACTCATTACTTGACATCAAGCCATCGCCCTCAACCTCGCCATTGCCTTCGGCCTCCTCCTCACTCTGACGTCTACGACCACGTCGTGCCGGGCCACTGAGGAAGCTTCCTGGAACCTTGCCGACGCGCTTGACACGCATGGAGCCTTGCAGTGCTGGGTTATCCTCTGGCTTGACGTTCCTTCCGACGGTAGAAGGGTGGCGCGAGACACTTCCAGGGTTGATACCAGCGGCATGTCGGCCGGCAGTTACTGGCTCCTCAGAATGCTCCTGCTCGAAATGCGACCCAGACCGGCGTGAATGGCCAGTCGAGCTGTTAAGTCGACTTCTGTTGCCCGATGAGCCGGCGGCAATGCGGACAACTCGGACTCCTTGAGCAGGAGTGTTGACGTCCTGGGGCGGTTCTGGCTTCTCATCGGAAGACTGTTCACGGCTTTCTGGCCGACTCCTTGAGCGAGGGCGTTGGTTGGTGGATCGCGACAGTGATGTTGATCGTCGCTTCGTGGGTCCCATCTGGCTTAGACTCTTGGGTGTTGTGCTGAGTCTGACGACTCTCTTGCGCACGGGACTTGTCTCGCGGCTTCTCATGGGTGATGAGGGTTTTGATGATCTCGTCTCATGTGCTTGCGCACTTCCGGACCTGAGGGATCTTCTCTCTTCTGTAGCAGATGTCGTCGACGCAGCGAGGTTGCTTGCGCGACGGCGCGTTCGTGGCGGGGATGGTGCACGCTCAGGTTGGGCGGAGCCGCCATCGTTAAGGAGTGCCTTGGTGAGAGCGCTGAGCTTCATAGGGACCGGAATCTCATCGTCGGAGCTATCGTGCATGGCGTACTGTTGCGAATCCGCCTTCCTAGACAGAGCAGGTGCGGCAGCTGTCGCGTGAACAGGGTTTGATTCGGTTCGGCCCAAGTGCGGGCGCGAGGGCAAGCGACGGAGGCCTTGTCTCTGCGAAGGTCGCCGTGACAATCCGGTGCCAGCGGTACCCATCGGGGTGGGCGAAGCTGTCGACATGTCCATTTTTTCCGGTCGAGGTGGTTGGGGGTGGAGGTTTGTTTTGCAGGTGTGAGCAATGTAGGTAATTGAGCAATTCGGCGCGTCCCTTCCACGTCTCGGAGACTGACCACCTTCCGCCGCAAAAGCGATTGTTTCTGTCGAGTAAAGGATGATTTACGTGTCAATGGTGCCCATGATCCAAAGGATTGAAAATGGAGGAAAGATTAGTTTATGCGGCGCGTCATTAGCATCTTGTAATGCTGGGGGGGATGTGTCGGTTCCTTGTCGAATTCAACGACGTTCCCAGTATTTGGGGCTAACAGGGGTCGTCCAATGAGAGGGCAGGTTCGGCAGACTAAGTTGTCCGGGCAACTGGCTGGCAGAGCTTAGTGTGGGACGCGAGGCGGCACATTCCCCTGTTCGTCGCATGAAATTTGCACATCAGATTCTGGCCCTATGCCTGAGGCAGAAACATACTGGAGTGAGCAACGGTGCGAACCGGCATGGCCAAAGCTTCTAATTGAAATCGCTTAGAGATGCGCGCACTGGAGATCCATCAGACGCCTTGCGGACCCAATGCCCCGCATGTAGGAGGATGTGGGTGCATGTAATCTTGCTGCAAGACGCCGTACCTGTACTGCAGGACGGTGGAAGGAGCGCGATGTCCCAGACGGCAACACATGGTAGAAGTTTCACGATCACGGGGGAGAATTGTTTTCAAAGAAGCAGCGAGCTTTTCAATTGTCCGAAAACAGCCGGTTTCCCTACACAAATGTGCGTCGAAGTCCAACCCAAGAGTTCCCCCATGCGAATGACATGCGAAAATGTCGGCCAGATGTTGCTGCGTGACTTCTTTGATGAGGTCGGGGCACTCGGCCAGTCATCAGCGTCGTGAGAAGGGTATTTAGTCGAAGAGACCGAAGCCCATGTCGTCGTCGGACTCCTCCTTCTCCTCCTCCTTGGGAGCCTCGGCCTCAGCCTCAGCAGCACCGCCAGCAGCGGCACCACCAGCGGCGGGAGCAGCACCAGCGCCACCAGAGGGGACGGAGGCGAGCTTGGAAGAACCCTCAGAGATCAGCTGTGGGGAAGTCAGCGCGCATGTTCACGGGAAGAAAAACTCAGACGATCATCCTGCCGGGAGAAAACTGACCTCGTTGATGTCCTTGCCCTCGAGCTCAGAGATGAGCTTGTTGAGGCGCTCGTCATCGGCCTCAATGCCGACGGACTCAAGGACAGCCTTGACGTCCTTGGCAGAGGGGGAGGTGTTGCCACCGAGGCCGAGGAGAAGGTAAGCGGCGAGGTGCTTCATTTTGATTGTGGTATTTCTGGATCAGACAGCAAGGTCAGCCAACGGTCCTCAAGATATTTGCAAGCGGCGGAGCATGCGACAAGCATTACCAACAGTAACAACGTCGGCGAGGGAGGAGTGCAGCGGGGAGTAGGACTCACAGTTTCTTGAAGAGAACACGAGAGGTCAATCAATTTAACCGCAAGTTGGGCGGAGACTGAATCTTCGAGTCCTAAGAGGATAGTTGGCGGTGGTTGTCTCTTCGGAAAGTTGGTTGCGAAAAAAAAAGTTTCGCCTTTTGTCACGGCTGTGGGCAAAAAATTAGACCCTAACAGGCGTTTAGGGCGGGGGGCCAGCGCCCGATGCTGAGTGGCTGGCCGTCTGTGGCGGGGCAGCTCACCAGCCACCTGCCCGTCAGCTCCCCTGGGAGTCCACCCAAGTGCACGGGACCCTGCCATCTTCCAGTGGTAATCGCGATAAATGACGAGAACCTGGAAGCTCGGCACTCCCGGAACCGGAGCCACTGCTTCTTCCGAAAGCCTGGAAGTCCAGGCTGGTAATAAGGCAGAGGCACAGTGCTGGAAGTACCACTGATTCCCACCCCCAGGCCAGCAGATATAAACTTGCCAACTCCAACGCCACTTCCTTTTGTTTCCCCCGAAACCCAACTTTCGACTTTCCCGACCATCAGACGCCCGTTGCGTGTCCTCCGCGACCATCGCCTCATTTTTCGCGATTTTTCCACCCGCGACTCCCACGATTTCGGCCGACGTTCAGGCTCGCGTCTCTCCAAGTCTTTGGGGGCACTGGGCTCGCTGAATCGCAGAAAACTTGGGGTTCTCGCACTTTCCATACCGATGACTCAAGCCTCTGCCTAATGCATCCTGACGGCTGCTTCAAGCAATCTAGACCCTTGCTTGACGATACTTGGCTGTAAGAGACCGTCAACATGCCGGTAAGTCTAACGAGCACGCGACCTCCTGCGATTTCCGCTTCGCAGAGACTCATTTCGCCGACGAACGCTCACCCCCTCTCCCAGATCGGAGATCTTCTCGCCCAAATAAGTGGCGATAAGTCACAGAGCACCTCTCCGGCGCCGACACGACCGGCCATCGCTGCCGCCCCGAAACGAAAAGCAGACGATGATTTGCGCAGTACCGTTTCAAATAAGACGCCGCGAACCAGCACCACAGCGCCCAGTTCGTCGTCAGCTTCGAAGCCCGCTAGCGCCCCGAGACCCGCTTCGCGACCTGCGGAAAAGGCGACGACCATTACCGGCTACCGAGGCAGCGCAGCCCGACCCTCAGATCGAACATCATCAACACCCAAACTCCTGGGCAATGGCACATCATCAGCGAAGCCCAGCACCTCCAGTGCGCGACCCTTAAACGGGTCTGGTGCATCAAGGCCCACCACCCTGCCCAGCCGACCATCACCCGCCCCTCCAAAGGATGGTGCAGCCCCGAAAAAGGGGTCTTTTGCTGAGATTTTGGCGCGTGCCAAGAAGGCTCAAGAATCGATGGGCCAAGTCGGAAAAATTCAACACAAGCCTGTTGAGAAGGTTCTCACCAAGAAAGAACGTGAGGATTTGGCGTTACAGGCAAAGAAGGATGCAAAGGCGGCAACGGCCAAGGGCGGAGCTGCGAGACAACCGTCAAAGTTCCAGGGCACGTCCAGACCATCCTCAGGTGCCCCGGCACGCAACGGGGCTGGTACCAATGGGTCTTCCAGGAATGGCGCACCTGACCGAGCGAAGGACCCTCGAGCTGCAGCAAAGGCACGCGCTACTGAGGAGGAGCAGGAAAAGAAGCTCAAAAAGGCAGCCGTGGCGACCACAGGATACACTGGCACTGCCCGCCCGAGACCCGGTGCAACCTCAACGAAGAAGAAGCCAACTCCCGGCGGTGCCCTCCTCAATAGTCGCCCTGCACCACGCTATGGCGGCTCCGCGAGAAGGTCTCGCTACGAAGACGAGGAAGACGAAGAACTCGACGACTTCATCGAGTATGATGACGAAGAAGACGATGCTGGTCCCCGTTACACCTACGACTCGGACGGCTCTTCAGACATGGAGGCCGGCATGGACGACGTATGGGAGGAAGAGCAGATGGCAGAGCGTGTAGCTCGCAGAGAGGATCTCGAGCAGGAGAAGCTCGAGAAGCGACTCAAAGCTGAGAAGGAAGAGCGTAAGCGCAAGTTCTACGAGCAGCAGCGTGGACGGCGTTAGTCACGAGCCCCGGCGCTTCAGACGGTATCACAGGGGAACAGGAACCTGGGCACTAAGGGCATTTGCACCGGTAGGCGCGGCGCGGCAGCATCACATTAGCGACGGCGTTACTGTATTTGTTTTGTCATCATTGGGTTAGGGAATTACTCACGGCACACACGGCCGACTTCATTTGGCGGTTTTCACCTTACTTTCTTCTTTGGAAAGAAGGGTATAAACATGCCACGCGCGCGAGATGATACCTCAGGGGCCAACAAACATTAGCCTAATATTATTACGTCTGTGCCAGTTACTGGTCAGAACCAAGCTCAAGGTCCCAGGGGGAGGATTGGTGCTGCAATACCTGACAGAATGCCGAGAACTTGGCGGCCCTGTAACAGGAGAGTCCCAGCCAGAATCACGTAATGCGTTTGCCCGTTTGATAGGAAAAGTAGATTGTCTTACGTAGTCAGGTTATTGGGTAGTCACAAACAACCTGTTGTTAAACCACAGGGCCACGTCGTCTTGGTGATGTTGCGCAAACGTTATGTAATCCTTGTATCTCAGTCTGTGGGAGCCCCAGTGCCATAATCCATGGGGTATCAAATCTACCCATTCCATCGCATGATCCCATCCCCCAACGCCAGCTTTCCAATGTTGCCCAAGATTCCACAAGATACCTGCTGTGAGCCATTGACCGGAGCTACTAAGCTCCGTTCTTCCGCAACTGATAACTCCGATACGTGATGTTGAACCAGGCTGGCGACGAACGACTGCGGCAGTACGTCATCCGGTCCGCATGTCGTTTGTTGTTACACGCGATCTACGACCGCAAACTTTGCGCCCTGTAAGCCTTTTGGCTAACAAGGGAAGAAAAAATAAAGCCAGAAATGCAACCGTCCATGTTGATGGCAAGCAAAGATGGGGAAAGAAGGTATTAGAAGGCGGCAGGAAGAAATTCTGCCACCTGATTTGTGCCTCCTGTTTAACACCCGAGTGGGAAAAGGAACAAACAAATGCAAACGTTGCTGGTGTTGCGGCTGCAAATTGCTTTTCAAGGATAACTTCTCCGCGGAGGCGAGAGACCCTGGAGGAACACTGCCGCCCACCAAACTCTGGCGGACGAGGGACGGGTTCTCTACTGTGACAAGCGGCGCGCAAGTGCTCAGCGTCTTGACCAGGCCCATGTGTCTCAATAATAGTCAGGAGCTCTGCAATCCTATGGTAGATCTTCCGACTTGAGACCTGAGTTCCCATATCCACTCAGATTCCAGCCTTTGTATCGAACTGTAGAACCGCCGCTGCCAGAGAGTGAGGAGGGAGGAGGATTGTGTGGAGGGAGCCCATTGTGATGCTTCATGGGCGGTGGTGGGAGTGAGGCTGGTGCAGCTGGCAGGCTGCTTTTCTGGCCAACGGGAGCATGATGGCCGTTCGTACCGTTGGATGTGCTCTGCTCGTCATCCTTCATAAGGCCCTTTTCTCGCAGATACTGGATTGACTGGAGAACCGTCAAATCCTCTTGGTCCTTGTCGTTGAGGATCAAGCGCTGCTGGATGGTAAGTGCCCCGTTGTTCGCTTCCCGCTCTTTCATGGCCGCCTCTCTGACAGCGGGATCGTGGACGAAACGGCACTTGCCCTTCTTGCCACACGTACCTCCCGTCGAGTAGTACTTGCAGTGTTTCGTAACATCTGCCTTCTTAGCTGGCGGGGGTGGTGGGGGGGCTTGCTGAGCACGACTGGACGCGACTTCTGGCTCGTCGTCTTCAGACTTAATTTCAACGGGGGAGCTGTCTCTCATCTCATCACCCTCGTCCTGCTGTTCACGCTTGCGTTTGATGGACGACTCCACCTTTTCTAGCTGTTTTCTCAGCTTGATAGCGAGGTATTCTTCCTTCTCTAGAGCGGCAGCAAACTTGTGGCTGCTTCCGTGTGCCACCTCGGCAGACTTCTTTGCCTTAACTCGTGCGGCCGTGGGGAAGCGCTTCTTCCGCTCGGCGATATAGGCAGCAACATCAGTGACCCTACGCATTCCATTAGCGGACCATTAGCTTGTTGTTTATTTCCCACTCACTGTAAAGCATCGGCGCCGATCAGCTTGCGAAGAGTCTCCTCTTCCATTTCATCGTCTTCGGAGTCCGAGTCTTGGCCTGGCGTAAGACCCAACGTGTTGGTCTTGCGCTTCTTCTTCTTACCAGAAGCGGCGTTGTTATCATGCTTGTGGAATCCTCCGTCTTGACGATTATGATGATTTCCTTGCTGGCGGTGACGGTTTCTATCGTTGCCGTTTTGGAAGCCTCCTCGGCCTCGCGTGTTGTTCCCGCGGAAGCCACCTCGTCCACGACCGCCATGTCCATCATGCTTGTAGTGTGGCTCGTGTGCTGGGCCGGAAGCATGAGGAGCAGGCGGCGGAGCGTGGTAAGGATACTGGGTAGGAGGCGCGTACGGAACCGGCTGAGCGCGAGGATCTCCGTACGGTTGACCATATCCACCATTCACTTGATGCTGGATCCCTTCGTTGCCGTATGCCGGAGGGGCTGGTGTACTCATGTTGGGAGCTCGCGAGCCACCTCGATCGTTGCCGTATCCGCCGCGGCCGCGGCCACCACTGTAATGGTTCTGAGCGTGTTGATCATGGCCAGACCATTGTTGGGGGGCACTGTATGGTGCAGGATGTTGGTAAGGTTGCCCATACTGTTGCTGCTGGGGAGGCCCGTATCCTGGCTGGTGAGGAGGCGGTTGGGCATGTTGAGGATGGGAGTAAACTTGGGGAGCGTAATTGGGATGGTAGTTGGAGCTGGATAAGGGAGCAGGAGCGTGGGCGCCATGCTGAGGCGTAGGATGGGCGTGATCGTGGTGCCACTGCTGCTGGGGAGGATAACTGCCGCCCGTGGGCTGACCTGCGTACGCAGGGCTGTGTTGGGCATAGGGCTGCTGGCGACCGTACTCGTACTGAGGCTGAGGAGCAGGCGGGTATTCAGGACGACCGCCAGACGTATAACCACCACGGCCACCTCGGCCGGGAGGAGCACCACCTCCTCTGGGGTGTTGTTGATAGGGGCCGCCGTGATGACCGTATCCAGGATGGCTCGCTTGTGCCGCCTGGGGAGGAGGTGGCGGCGGGCCGTAGTTGTAGCCGGACATCTTGGCTCGGCAACGTTGAAGCTCGTGTCTCGAAGGCTCGGTTCGGATCTTCTCCGTTGTGATAGTTATGGGATGTTCGATGATAGAAGGAGACAGGTCGACCAAGAGACTTGATGGCTCCGTACCAGATTACTTCTTTCGAAGGTGAGCGCTTGCGATCGTATCGAACTGCAGGGAGAAAGGGGGCAAAAGGGTGATGAGGTGCAAATCGATATCAAAGAATGAATCTTTTCTGGAGGCAGGAAGACAACCTCGGAACAAGACACCTCGCAAATATGAAATGCAAAAAGAAGGAAGCGCGAGGCGGGAGACGCAGCTTGATGCAGACTGCAGGTTCCCTGACGCGAAGCTGAAGCAGAATGTGGAGCCCAGCAACTTTCTTCCTTTCTGCGGGCAGAGTTCCAGGCTCTGTCCTGGCTCAGGGATGTGGTTTCGGTGGCCGCAATAACTGTTCCAGCGGGTCGAGTAACCTTGGTAGTGTCTTATGGCTGCCTTGGGGGCGCTTTGGTCCGCTGAGTCGACCCTTGGCTAGGCCAGAACCAGAGGGCGGTGTGACAGCGGGTGTCTTTTCCAGCCAGGCGCCCCGCGATTTTGCCGATTTTGCGATTTCATAGACAGCCAGCGACTCATCTGAAATTCCTTCCTTGAAAGGCGCTTTCGCTTCTGATTGAGCCCTCTTGGGAGACGACGATTTGAAGGTCTCCAATTTTCAATTTTGTTCTTTTAATCGTCCAGAGGCCCTCATCGCGAGCAAATAATTGCCCAGCATGTTCATCCTAGTAGGTTTCGATCCTGCAATTTTCACTTGGATGTATCACTAACACGGCCGCAGACCAAAATCGCCGATCTAGTCGAGATCGCACCAGAGGATTTCCGCAAGAAGAGCGGTACCGCAATTGAGGACAATATCAACGCAAAGTACGCGAACAAGGTTATTCAAAAGATTGGCCTCTGCATATGTCTCTATGACATCCTCTGGACCTCAGAAGGACTCATCGGCCACGGCACCGGCCTCGTCAACGTCAACGGTATGTGAGAAATGTCCTCGGGAAGAGCGCATGCCTAACGTCCTTCTAGTTGAATTTAGAATGATCGTCTTCAGACCGTTCAAGGGCGAGGTCATGATTGGCAGGATCAGGAGTTCTACGCCAGCCGGCATCAACCTGAGAACAGACTTTTTCGACGACATTTTTATCCCCTTCGATGAGCTCCCCGAGGGTGCTGAATAGTGAGTGAAAGTCACTCATGATATCAAAGCCCAGTCTGGACTAATTTGTTCCAGCAACCACTCGGAGCAATTATGGATCTGGAATATCGAAGGCGACAGACTCTTCTACGACAACCACGAAATGGTCAGATTCCAAGTTATTGACGAGGAGTGGCACGACCAGACGCCTGCGGGCCCAAGTCAAGGAGAGGAGGCCGCCCCGCCAAAGCCACCATACAAGGTGAAGGGCACCATGGCGATGGAAGGTCTCGGCGTGTGTCTCTGGTGGGATGGTCAGGGCAGCGAGTAGTACTTGGGCGGTCCTTGATTATCTCACAGGCGATGCATTGATTATTTTACGGGAAGAAGATAAAGACCTGGAAGGCGCATGGGCGGCACGGATATGTACATTGTTCTACAATTCTATAACTTGATACCCGAGAGCAGTCTTTGCTCCACATCATCCAGAACTGAGTAGTGGTCAACGACGGCAATGTTTTCGGCCTCGCCCTTGAACTGCTTGTCGGGGTCAACACCGGGCCCAAACATCTGGGGGGCGCCCTGGGCACCCCCCATCTGTCCCATTTGCTGGGCCATCTGGCTGGCGGCTGCTTCACGTCAGTATCCCACTCTTCAAGAGCCCTTATCGAGACTAGCTTACCATTGTCACTTCCCAGAATGAAGTTGAAGACAGATTGTAAACCAAAGATGCAGAGGAAGTACCAGCTGATGCTAGACATCCATCGGGGATCCATGTCCTTGGTCGCGACACCAGCCTGGAGCATGCTCTTGAACTTGATGGTGAGCGGGAACGGCAGCTTCATGATGACGTATCCGCTGAAGAAGGCGTTGATCCAACTCATGATCAGCGTGTTGGGGATAATCATCGCCATGTTGTTCTTCATCATGCCCATCATGCCGTCCATCGCACCCGGGTCCGTGAGCGGGTTCGCGGGGGGTTGGCCCTTGCGATCGGGGTCCTTGAGGTAAGCACCAGACTCATACGCAGCAACAAGCGTGTCACGGCGCGCCTCGAATGACTTCTTCGACAGGACGTGGTGGTTCGTTCGCACGCCGACGCCATGCATCATGGCGCGTTGCTCGCGAAGAGCAGGCTTGTCGAGCTTCTTGGGCGGGGTGGCGAGCATGACCGAGGCATAGTGTCGCAGAATACCAGTCAAGATCATGACCACGGTAATCGGGAACAAGATCCAGTAGCTATTGCGTTGCTTCGATTAGTCCCTACATGCCGAATGGACAATTGGCGGTAGATACGTACAACAACTGGGGATCCCGATGGATCGTCTGCACCGGAACCTGGGCCATGGCGGACGTAATTGACTCGGAACGCCGGGCAGGATGATGCGAAAAGATTGTGATGACGCTTGTCGTTGCAATTACGGCCCGGGGGTTGTGAGCTGGTGGTCGACGTTGCACCTCATCATGGTGGAGAGCTCCCGTCGGAAAAAGAGTTTTGGCGGGGCTCCGAAAGACCACCTTCCACTTTCACTTTTCGACAATGGATTCGCGCAGGGGTCCAAGCTGTCCTAGCTCCGAAAGCCAGGCTGGAGGTTACAAGACATAAAACGAACCCAAATCCCATGCCCGCCATACCACGAAGCAGCGAATACTGGAACCGGATCACTCTACCCCGCGCGCAATTATTACCAAAATGTCGTCTTCAGAAAGAATAACGGTCCACAACTTGGCCGGTACGTTTCTGCCATTTTTCGTGCATCTTTGTCGCATCCGCACTAACAGCTTACCCCAGATCTCAAGAACACCTCGGACGATGCGCTCCCCAACTACCTCAACTCCCTCAAGTTCACCCAGTCCCACACCTTGACCGATGTCCGTCTGGGCCTCGGCTGGGGCGCGTTTCTGATCGCCGCCGCTTGCTTTGGCTGGGATTACAAGTTCGGCTTCGACGCAACCAAGTACTACACTGCGGCCGCCGTGGTCGTCTACTCGATCCTGAACGGCGCTCTGACGCTATGGATCTGGCTCAAGGAGGCGGGCACCGTATACGAGGGCACATCTCCGTCGGGTGAAAAGGTAAGCGCCAGCGTCATCTCCCTTTGCAGTCTGGCATCCTGTTCTACGAACCCAATGACTTACACCGGCTCGTATAGATCAACATTGCAACCTCAACAAAGAAGAATGTCCCAATCTACAACATGAAGATCACCATTACACCCAAGAACGGCGCAAGCAAGACACTCGAGCTTGCGAAACCTTTTAACCAATGGTTCGACTCTCAGGGCCACTTCGTCGCTTCGCCATTCCAGGAGATCCTCGCTACCAACATCCCCACCATTGGCAAGCTTGATCCTAAGCGCGTTCAGTCCACCTCCCAAACCTACTCTGCCGACGTTCTCGACGCTCTGTACGCCGAGAGCACCGCGACGGGTAGCGGAAGCGGCGCTGAGGCAGCGGCGAAAGGATCTAGCAAGCGACGCAAGGCGTAGATAGTCGTTCGGCTCTAGTCAGGGATTCGTTCTACACTTGTTAAATGCTGCATCGTCTTGTAAAGTAACCAAGGGCTTTGAGAGGGGAAAAAAGCATGCGATTTTATTTCCATCGTTCCGCAGCTGTGCAAACAGCGCTGGTTGACCCTGATCTCATTATATCTGGTTCTAATCTAAGTGTGATTTAAGCCCCTGAACGCCTCGCCATTCCGGCATCCCCTCGATGACAACGTCTATATGCATATCCAGGTTGCGCCGTACACGCGTCTTTTCCAGCAGAACCCGCCCGCTTATCCAAATTACACACATCCGGTCTCTTCTTATTTGACCTCTGCCCAAGCCGCACGTGCAACAAGAGCAGCCTTCCGAACCTCCCGCACTCGATCACCCGATGACTGCGACAGTACGCGACGGACATGTGCCGCAGAGTCAAGCAGATGACGGTCCTCGAACTGGGGAGGCAAAAGACCCAGGAGACGGACGACGAGATATCGGCATTGCGCCTGGCTGATGTCCGAATGGTCGAACGGCATATACCCGGCCGGCATCCACGCTGAATCCTCGCTCTGGGAGCCGCCTCGGGTGTAGATAGAGATGCAAGCCTCGATGATGCTCTTAAGGAAAGGCTTGATGCGTTCAGGCGATCTCTGGGCGATCTCCTCCAAGACCTTGAGACCTGCTTGCACATCTCCACCAGAGGGCAGGTAGCGGACAGCGCAAAGCACGAGTCTCACCAGATCCTCTGTATCGTCCTCGTAGATGTTGAAGGGGAGATGCTTGACAGCAGCAAGAACAGCAATGCTATAGTTTGCAGCCACCAGCATGTCCTCAGAACTATTGGAGCCAGCGGGCCAAGCCTTTGCCAGCATGGGCTTGACCAACTCGAAGTAAGCCCTCTGCAGCCACAAAGGTTTGGCTAGTCCATAGTACTCCTTTGCCAGACAGCCATAAGGAGAGAAAATGATCTCAAAGTTGCGGGCAAGAATGTGGCCAGTCTCCTTGTTGGCAGGGCCGAGTTGGATAGCCGAAAGAACCTGTTTAAAGGCATTGCCTGTGTACCTTCGAAGAACACCCGCAGTGATAGCATAGACAGGCCTTGCCAGGTTAGCCCGCGCCTGAGCCGGGGTTTCTCCTGGGATCCTCTTTGCCTCGTGCTCAAGGAAGCCAGTTTCGTTCTCCGATTCCTCTGACAGACTTCCATCGCCAACAACAAACTTCATCTGTTGCTCAATCATTGCCACTATCTCGCTCAGCTTCTCGACTGGATACTTGTTGGCAAGAATCGTCAGGATATGAGCGACAATGTGGCGTGAACGGGGAGAAGCTGAATGATCGCGGGACAGTAGACCTGCAATCAGAATCTGGTGCGCTGTTCCTCTCTCGACCTGGAACGTCTCAGTACACCGTTTTCCAAAAGAAACTCGGAATAAACTTACCAAGCGTTGTATAGCTGTGGGATGCAGGGGTTGAACAATACCCAACGAGAGTACAACAGCACGGCCTTGGCTGAAGCCACTAATAGGAAATTTGGGGGGATCGCGCATGCTGTAAGATTTTGCTGGGCTGATAGTTCGCAACATGGCATCTCGCAACTGAGCATTGGCCCAGGGGTGTGCATGAGTAGGGTCGCTGTGCAAGTATTCGTCATCGCCGCGGAAGAGAGTTACAACCTCTTCATTGAGGAGCAGCGCAGTCTGCTCCAGTTCATTCATTTCCCGAATGACAAAGGAGGCCATGGTGCTGATATAATGCAGATAACAGTCCTCAAAGTTGCGCGCGTCAGGGTCCTTGTTCACAAAATCGGTACTTAACTCAAGGGACAGCTCAGTGTCATCCGCGTAGCTGACGATCCTTGTCGCCCTCCTGTAGAGTTGTCGTACCACAAACAAACTGATCAGAGTAAAATCTCCATGGAGCTCATCGCTAGCGTTCTCCAGAGGTTGTTCTTTGCTGTCAACATCCATAGCGTCAACAGCAGCAGCCGAATCGGAACTCTCGCCATCAACACGGGGCAGCTGGGGGTATCGAGCTGCTACATAGTTGACCCACGTCTCGGGGTGGAAGCGCTTATCCTTGAAGTTGAGGGCGCTGGATCGGGGAACGAGTGCATGGATAGCATCTCTGTAGTATCTCATCGTCATCTGAATACCAGATGCGAATACTGACCAAACCTGGGGAGGTGCCTTGATGTCAAGCATAGACTGCAGGTTCTTCAACAGTACACCGAGTAGAAGGACGTAATTGCCGAACTTGTTTGCTTGGCTGGGTACCTGAGAGCAGCTGATGAAAGCTAGCTTAGGAATGATCTGCTCAAGAGTTCCGATCAAGCCAGTGACCGACGTCTCAGGAGAAGCAATATACGGCTCGCATACTCTGAAGCTGTCCGCGACCAGTTTTTCCAGAGCTGGCGGGTAAGCTGTGGTTGCCCTCTGGAGAGCAAGCACCGCTTCATCGGCTATGTTAGCCTGAAGCTCGTCTGTAGCGTATCTCTCTGGCGCCTTGAGGATCACACTTGCTAGATCATCGCAAATCTCGGACAGAGTGGCCTCTGGAAGCATAGGCTGTGTGGACAATCCTGTCTGAGCAGCGCGCTGGCATACCATGAGGCCCATACCCTTGATAGCTTGCTGTCCAATGGCGGTTTCTTCCTTCTGTGCACCGTCTTGGATTGCTTGTTGAAAGGGAGGCAGATATGCCTGTTTGTAGAGGGGTGCAAGCATCGGCTCTGTTGCCTTGAAAGCAGCTGCGTCGTCAACGGACAGTTCCGCCCCGCCACCGATAAGAGCTTGTCTCAATTCAAGGAGAGAATTGAGTAAAATCAACAGATTTTTGGTGTGTTCGGGTGACTTCGTGTGACGAAGATTGTCCTTGACATGGGTGATGGAGGGAGCGATCATAAGAGCAAACGCTGAGGGCTTCGCGCTGTGCACGCTGATAAGCAGTTTGCCTGAAGCTGCCGTATATATCGGGTTGGCGAGGTCTTCCAAGCAGTCTCGCTGGACGGTCAGGGCGAAGTCTCTCAGCTCGTCACCTGAGAGTCTCTTGGCAATGGTACGAATGACCTCGAGCGTAGCGTTGATCGTATCCTCAATTTCTCCGTTGCGTACCTCGTACTTCAGACTGCCCCAGATCTTCTCAACGAAGGGCGTAATTCCTTGCTGGACATGCTCATACTTCACCAGGCAGGCGCTCAGCGTTTTGAGAATATCAACCTATATCACTGTCAGTTTAGCACGGTCACACTCCCGAAATGACTACTCGCCTTGACATTCACAGTCACACTATCTCCTTGATCGAGCCTTCCAATTAGATACGGGATCGCCTTGCTTGCGACCCGATGGTGCGCAGAGAAACATTCTCGCAGTGCAGACTTGAGGTCATCTGCGGTGATACCAGATGGATGTTGCGATGCTCTCAGTGAGATTGGGAAATATGCTGAAAAAATGCCGAAAATCTCGTCCACGAGCTCTTGTGCGGGGGAATAGTCGGCAAGGAATGTCTTGAGGATCTTGAACCAGATCATCAAGCATTTAGGATCTCTCTCGTTGCGGCAAAGCTGTAGGAGGTCCGTTATGAAGCCGGTAGTAGCGCCGTGCTGGTACTGCAACTCGCTTGCAACATCGGGGTTGGTGACGAGATGGTCCAAGAGTTCATACACCGTGGCGCGAGTCTCTGCGACCTGATTTTTGAAGTCATCACCGAGACTGCAAATACTCTGAATGATGTCGTTCCCTTTGGAGGGCTGAAATGCCTTCATACTGGTCGTCCGGTCGAGTGCTTTGGCGGCTGGCATAATGCCTGCTTTGTGATCGACCTTGAACATGCTGCCAAAGAATGCAACAAGGAGATTCACTGCAATGACTGGTCAATTGAGATTCCTATTGTAAGAGCAATATCATTCACCTTGATCTGGCTTCAGAAAGCCGGGGTCCAAATGTTCCAATGTCCCTGCCAGGAAGCCAAGGGCTAAACCAGGGTTAGTATTGGCCTACAGCGTACTACCGGGACGAGGGCCTTCACCTTTGGAGCGGGCAATGATGTCGCCACTTGACTCTCCATCCTCGCTGTCTTCCATTTGGTCGGCATTGGCATTGGGCATCCACGGCCTGATGGACTCAACCCATCTCGCCACAGGATTGCTGGGTCTAGGTGCTGATTGTATTGCTAGAATCAGGGATCAGCACTCTGCCTATCCAGGGGCCTTGGGTCTCAACGTCTGACAGGACTTACCTGAAGATGCTTCCTTGGTGATCGATGCATGCCTCTCGAGGTCGTCGCTGAGGACATACTCTAGTGCCAATTTCCTGAAATCTGCCATGATACCCAGCCTCTTCAGGCACTGTGTTGTTTGCGATGATGTCTTTTTCGAAGGCCCTAAGAGCAAGTGTATGGCTGAAATGTTCAAGTTGTGTCTCTGCTGATGTTTTTTGTAGTTGAAGAAGGGAAGTTGGTTGGGGAAAAAGTGAATAGTGAGATTGGGCCGTTGGAATCAAAATCAGAAGTTGCGATGCGCACCCGCACTTGGCTATGAAGTACACCCCGCACCTGCTCAAAATGGTGGCCGCTTTCAGGGGTTAGATACAAAACTTCAGATCTCTTCCATCTGATGATCTAGAATAGACGAGGTAGGAAGGCGCGGGTAGGATTTTTCAGTGCACCAACAGGAAGGCTTCAAAACTTTTTCGTCAACTGATACTAACTTCATTTCACTGGCCGGCTTTCGGTGACAGGCTGTGAGATAATTACTCAGATGAGATGGTGGTGGGGGATATGCTTTGGGCAAGCGGTGTGTCTCTTATCAGGCTTATCGCGGCCTGGAGGAACCAATGTCCGATGACGGTGACTGTCCAGGATTAGCATGCCTCCTCCTTCTAGTCCTTTGTTTTCTGGGATTTCTTGAGGTTTGACGTTGAGAGTGTATTGTGATGATGTCACTGATTTACATGAAGTAAAAAGAATTGTTCAAATATCATCTACCATCATAGAATCTCTAAACAATC